TTTCATGTGTCTGTGGCCATTTGGATTTCCTCTTTTGAAAAATGTCTATTGAGGTCCTTGGCCCATCTCTTAAGTGGTTGTTGGTTTTGTTTTGTGGAGTTTCTTGATCTCTTTGTAGATTCTGGTTATTAACCCTTTATCTGTTGCATAGTTTGCAAATATTTTTTCCCATTCTGTCGGTTGTCTCTTCACTCTCCTGACTGTTTCTTTTGCAGTACAGAAACTTCTCAATTTGATGCAATCCCAATAGTTGATTTTGGCTTTGATTGCCTGTGCCTTCCGGGTCTTTTCCAGAAATTCTTTGCCTGTGACAATATCTTGAAGGGTTTCTCCAATGTTCTCTAATAACTTGATGGTGTCAGGACGTAGATTTAGGTCTTTAATCCACGTTGAGTGGATTTTTGTGTAAGGTGAAAGGTAGGGGTCTTGCTTCATGCTTCTGCACGTGGAAATCCAGTTTTCCCAGCACCATTTATTGAATAGACTGTCCTTGCTCCAGGAATTAGTTTTAGATCCTTGATCAAATATAAGTTGGCTGTAGATGTTTGGATTGATTTCTGGTGTTTCAATTCTGTTCCATTGGTCTATCCATCTGTTTCTGTACCAGTACCATGCTGTTTTGATTACAACTGCCCTGTAGTATGTCCTGAGGTCTGGTATTGTGATGCCTCCGGCTTTGTTTTTGTTGTACAAGATTGCTTTAGCTATTCGAGGTCTCTTGTGCCTCCATATGAATTTCAGCATCATTTTTTCTAGATCTGCGAAGAATGTCTTTGGTATCTTGATTGGAATTGCATTGAATGTATAAATTGCTTTTGGGAGAATGGACATTTTGATGATGTTGATTCTTCCAATCCATGAGCATGGAAGATTTTTCCATTTTTTGGTATCCTCTTCTATTTCTTTATTTAAGATTTTGTAATTTTCATCGTAGAGATCTTTAACGTCCTTGGTTAAGTTTATTCCAAGGTATTTGATTGTTTTTGTAGCTATTGTGAATGGGATTGATCTTAGCAGTTCTTTCTCAGTCATGGCATTGCTTGTGTATACAAAGGCTGTTGATTTTTGTGCATTGATTTTATATCCTGCCGCTTTGCCAAACTCCTCTATGAGTTCCAATAGTCTCTTAGTAGAGTTCTTTGGATCCTCTAAGTACAGAATCATATCGTCTGCAAAGCTTCTCTCCCCTTTCTATCCCAGTGACTCCCAAAGAAACTTCAATGTTCTACCCTAACTTCATTCCTTCCCTTCTTCAGAGATGACCGGTCCCTAAGGAGTAGGCTCTAGATCCCAGCTGAGAGTTGGCTACTTGGCCTGTAGTTTTGAATTTGGAATCAATGGATTCAGCCAAGCCTCCCTCCAGTTGCTGTAGCTCTAGTATATTATCCTTAGGAGCTGCTCACTGATCATCATTGCCATGAGGAAGGAAATGACCAGAAAGGAGCAGAGATGAAGAACAAAGATGGGTAGAGTTCTGTAGGATGCCAGCCTCTGTCCTTATTTTCATGATAAATTTTGTGACTGAAAACCAAAACGTAGTAGGCAACTAACTACACTGCCATGCTGATGAGAGCAGGGTTCAGTTTTGTCTCCTCACTACTGTATCTGTAGTGCCAAGCATGGTGCCTGGTAATAGAAGATTATGACAAACAGCTATTGGATGAGTGATGAAAAATTTTATTCACACATCCATTTTTTCTTCCCTCCTTTTATTACATAGGAAGACATCTGGCTCAATTAGTATACTCTATTACTCAAACACTCTTGATTGTTAATTAGACTATTCATGATCCACCCATGTAACCATCCATCCACAAACTAGCCCACCAACAACAGAGGTTCTCCAATGAGCTAAGTATTTTTAGGAACTGAAGTTAAAAGAATATGATCCCTTTTGAGAAAGTGAAGCTTATCAAGTTCTTTATGGTCCCATATCTTTATGCTCTCCTGTGTCTCTGCTTCTATGACAACCAATGTCATGGTAACCAGAAGACCCAGAACTGTCATAGCCCCGTGATGTAACTGCTTGGTGCTGTGTAACTATTTAATATAAGCCCATAAAAGAAACTGGGGACATGGTTTGGCACAGATCCTCTTGTATAGCTTGGCAGCCACCCTGAACAAGAGGTATTTCCTGTATCTATTTGCTTCCCACTGTGAACATAAAGAGGTATGAACATGAACAAGGCCCCACAGCTGTTCTTTGGCCTATCAAAATCTGGATGTAATCTCCCAAGAGCTGAGCTCCTGCATTACGGTCACCAAGGAACTTCCAGCCTGGGTGGAGGGACAGGCCTCTAAAACATAATTGTTATTTTCCAGGTCGTCCTGCCTAGGGCACAGTTGGTTGGCAACACCAGCTATTTCTCTAGATGTAACCCCATCTCACGGATTTTAGCTCATTTTCTGAGGCTCCACAAATGCTCCCATTCTGGTCCTTCTATAGTTGCCCACAGTTGTATGGACTTCTTCCACAGAACAGCTCCCATACCTGTACACTATCAGATGGCTTATGGATCAGTCAGGGTTCTCTAGGAAATGAGAACCAACAGGTTATGTATAGACAGATGTATCAGGAGTTTAGTTATAGGAATTAGCTCACATGGTTATGGAGCTTGATAAATCCCACGACCTGTCACCTTCAGGATGGAGAACAAGGAAAGTTGGTGGTGCAATGCAAAGTATGAAGGCTTTTGAATCAGCAGGGATTATCACATAAATCCAAGCCCAAAGCCAAAAGCCCCAAACTAGAAGCACCAATGTCCAAGGTCCGGAGAAGATAGATGTTTCAGCTTAAGCAGAGACAGTTAATATGTACTTCCTCCACCTTTTTGTTCTACTTGGGCACTCAATACATTGGGAGATATGAGCCCACATGGGGAGGATTATTCTCCTTGCTCAATCTGCTGATTGAGCAAATACTAATCCCCTCCAAAGACACTCTCACAGACACACCTGGAAATGTATTACCAATTTTCTGTGTACCCCTTGGTTCAGTCAACTGGATACATAAAAGTAGGTATGAGAACTTGGCTGTTCCACTTGGCCCTAGTAAACAGAGATAGCTTTTCTGTTCAAGGATATATCTCTCTTGCTGCTCAGAGCTTGGCAGCCTCCCCACCTGCTTGTTCCTTGGATCCTAGGAGAGGCTTGAGATCTTGACTTCCTCCCAATCTCCCTCCTGCCCCCACTACTGTCTCTCCAGTTATCCCGCTGCAAAGATGGTGGTTCCAGCTCTTTTCAATTTCCTCTTCCAAGATCTGCTTCCCATACCTCTTCCCATGGACAAGGACTATTTCCCATCATCCATCATTCACTGAAGCCTAAACATATTGCACATTTCACCTCAATTGAAATCCTCAACTGGGTCCAGCATTGTGGCGTAGCAGTTAAAGCCACCACCTGCAAAGCTGACATCCTATATGGGCACCAGTTGGAGTCCCAGATGTTCCTCTTCCAATCCAGATCACTGATAATGTGCCTGGGAAAGCAATGGAAGATGGCTGAAGTGCTTGGGTTCCTGCACCCATGTAGGAGACCGAGAAGAAACTCCTGCCCCTGGCTTTGGCCTGGCCCAGCCTGGTTATTACAGCCATCCGGGGAGTGAACCAGTGGTTGGAAGATCTCTTTCTTTCTCTCTGTTTCTTCCTATCTCTAACTGTTTCATAACATGTTAGGAAAGTGGAAAGACTTTCAAATTAATTAATTAATTAATTAATTTTTAAAAATCCTCAACCTGCAAGATTTGTGTTATTATCTGCTATAATTTGAAGAAGATTTGTCTCCCCCAAAAGTCATGTTGAAAGTTGATTTCCATTGAGGCAATTACCTTTAAGAGGTAATTAGGTCATCAAGAGGGGTTCATGCCTTTCTTGGTGGAGTTTGTTCACTCTAGGAGAACAAGTTATCCTTGGCTAATGTCTCCTCTCTTCTCTTCTGCTTGTCCTTCCACATTCCTACCATGCTATGACACAGCACATGTCCTCGCAAGGCTTACATCACTTTGTTTTCATCCTGGTTTTCAAAACAGTGGTATTCTCAATCTATTCTCTATGTACTTTGCTGAGCTCTTCATGGTCCAAGTGCTGATTCTGGCAGTGAGCCGACTGATGGGCTGCAAAATCGATCAGCTCCCATTTACATGTGAAGGTACTCCTACTCCTAAAACCACCCTCCCCTCCCAACAGCCCCCTCTTCCTTTCTGGAACCTCTTATCCAGGACCTCCAGCTACTTTTGAATATCCAGGTCCTGGGATCCACCAAGCCTATCTTCATATCCCACAAGCATCAGAGGCTATTTTGGGGTGGAGGGGTGGGGATGGGATGAGCTTTAATTTATATATTCTGTCCTATTTTAATGTCTTCAAAATGAGCATGTGTTATGTTTATAAATAAAAATTTTCCATTTCAACAGAATTGTGAAAAGGCAACCTTGGCCTACTTTTGCACTTTTGCTTTAAATCCCAATAAGTCCTTGAGAAGATTCTTGAAACGCTATCTTTAGTATCAGAAGATGTCAGATCAATAAGATTAACTAGAATAGAGAAAAACATCAACCTCCTCTTATCTTGCCAAGTTCCTCCAGTCTGGTCTTGTTCCAACAGGAGGAGGGGGAAGATCTGTCTAGAAAAACACCCAAAAAAGATTGGAATGCCCAAACCTTGCATCTGCCTCCAGAAGTAAAACTGGATAGGTCTGACTCCTGAGTTCCTTCTGTATGGCTGGCTTCCTCACTCTCATCCTCTATCTTAAAAAAATGTATCTGTTATTCGATTTTTTTTTTACCTGAAATGTAATGTACCAGTTTGTAAGGATAAACTCCATTTGTGAGATTTGTGAGACAGAACACAAAGCAGGTGGTCTTAGAGCTGAGAAGCTGTTTGGACTTGGAGCCCAAGTTGTGTGTCCACAGCTTTCTGATCAACCTGTGCTGCTCTGTAAGCTGACATTGCTCTTCCTCTGTGCATAAGTCTCAGTCAGTCTCTCTTGTTGATTTTCAGGGATCCTTAAGCATGTCAGGAAAGCCCAAGCCTCACTACTTCAATGGAAGAGGGAGAATGGAAACCGTCCGTTGGCTCTTGGCTGCAGCTGGAGTAGAGGTAAAATGCTGGATTTGCTCATATTATTTTTGTCTGTAAGTCATTGAGCACTTACTTAGGGTAATGCTGCAAAAAACTCTTTATATGATTCCCAAACAAAAAACAGGTTTTGCCATATGCACATTAAATGTGGGCTGGGAGTGGATTAGTGAACAGGTATCTGCTGATACTACGCTCAACCAAGGTGATGCAAATACTGAAAAAGTACTGCAAAAGTTCCTGGAAAATGTAAAAAAAAAAATTCAAACAAATTTTAAATCCATGCACAGTTTTTTCATGTGTTTTTTCACGTGCTTTTTGAAGACCCTTTGTGCAAATTTCAAAAGATTTTGCACCAAAATAAAATTATCTCTTAATTCATCTCCATGAATTTTTGAAGTAGCCTCAAATAGTGTTTATAATTTGCTACTAAAAATATAACTGTCTTGCACATCAATGAATTTTTAAATAATCAAAAATTACATTCTCAAAACCTTTAAAAGGTAAGTTATTAAAATATATAAACAGCCTTCAAAAAATCTTTGAGTCTGCCTGAACATTAATTGTGGATATAAAAAAATTAGCCTCTTTTGTAACCCATACAGAAATATTTTCTTAGTCACTCTTAAACGGTCTCTTAAATCCAAAGATGAAGGAACAGGGAGTTTCTGCTAGCCTATGACCAGCTCTATTGCAGTTTACATAAAAGTGGCAAGTAACCCTGGTCACTTGATACTCATTGGTATGCTCTATGTTCTATTGAAACCCTGTCAGAAGGAATCGGCTCCTTTGTTCTGTAGAAATGGAGACACCTTATGTGAGTGTAGCTTGGAACATGGTTTAGATTTAAGTGCTTTGTGAAATACATACATTTTATATGATCAGGTAGTGTTATTGTAAAGGAAGATCTTTATAAAAAGTTTACCTTTCTACAAATCCTTTTTTTTTTTTTTTTTTGACAGGCAGAGTGGACAGTGAGAGAGAGAGAGAAAGGTCTTCCTTTGCTGTTGGTTCACCCTCCAATGGCCGCCGCGGCTGGCGCACCGCACTGAAACAAAGCCAGGAGCCAGGTGCTCTCCTGGTCTCCCATGGGGTGCAGGGCCCAAGCACTTGGGCCATCCTCCACTGCACTCCTGGGCCATAGCAGAGAGCTGGCCTGGAAGAGGGGCAACCGGGACAGAATGCGGCACCCTGACCGGGACTAGAACCCGGTGTGCTGGCGCCGCAAGGCGGAGGATTAGCCTATTGAGCCACGGCGCCAGCCTTACAAATCCTTTATTTTTCATGTCTTAAATTAAAATTTTGAAGACATGTAAAATACAAAGAATATTATAATAACATGATGCTATGACATGGAATGAGCAATTTTTAGTAGTTTACAATTGCCTTCAGTCTTTTAAAAAAGAAAACCACAGGTAATATATGTTTCTGTTAAATATAAACATTAACAGAGCTAAAATTCAATTGGACCATCACATACATCTCTGCTTTACAAACTGTAACTAGTCAGTCTAACATCTGTAATTTTGCATTCACATCTGTATTCACCAATCTTGGACTCCTGTGCCTTTGGAAATAATTTAGATTAATGTCTCCTTTTGTGTATCATTACATGTTTCCTCTTTGCACTCAATAATGTGTTTCTGAGGTCTATGCGTGTTAAGATGGATAGATGACAAGTGGATAAATGATGAAAGAATGACAGAATGAGAGAGAAAGGAAAGATTTCTTGGGGGGCATTGTATATTTTTTAGTATAATTAAAAAAAAAAAAAAAGCTTGAACTGACTTCTCCCGCCAACGACTTAATTTTTACAAAATGAGGAAAGGCAAGTTCTCTTCTCTGAGCCACACGAAGCCCCTTCTCAGAACTCCTGATTGCTCAGTTTTTAGACTCAGGTAAGTCAGTACTGCCACAGCTGCCAGGGTCAGGAGGAGACTCTGTCGTCAGTTCCTGCCTTCTGTGCCCGCATTTCCCTTGAGACGTGAGCAACATGAATTTTCACAAGTTCAACAGCCCTGCTGTGTGGGAAATGCAACTTCGCCACAGTGGTTTTGCTTTGCTTATCTCTGGTGCCTCTGCAGCTTCTACCACAGCCACTCACACGGTGAGCCTTTAAGCAAAAGATAAAATTGAAGAAAGCACACCATTTTCCTTTTCTGAAAGTTCAGATAGGAAACCTTTTCTGTGTGCTGTGGTGAAAGTCCATCTAAAACTTGGGGAAATTCCTCAGGTAGTACTGAGTCTGGATAGATGGCATGCTGGTATCCACACCCAGAACTGGGCCACTGAACCGGCTCACCCCCTCCACACCCCATTCCCCATTCCCCAGCCCTGGGGGCTCCCCATTCCTCCCCGTTCCCTTCCCACACTCCCCTCAAGTCTCAGCCTGCGAATGCCCCACTTGGAATTTGGAGTTGGGCTTCACGCTTGAGGCTTTTGGAGCCTGGCCAAATCAGACAGTAAAAGTTACTCTAGAGTTCCTGACGTGAGAAAGTGAAATCATTAACACACCGCTCTCTTCATCACACCTCATAAAACTCAGAAATAACATTTAATTTGGGGGTGGGGGGAGTGCTTCTCTGAAAGCTTTGTTATACCTGGCTTAACCTCCTCGATATTCTCATATTTGGTTCCAACTTTGGAATAAGGCTTCTTCCTGTAATAGTCATGTAAATAAAACTTACACAGGAGCCAAGGTGATAACACCCGAAATGTCGTGGGCTGGGAGATGAGGGAACCCAGCCCTGATGCTCCCAGCATCCAGCTGAGGGACTTGAGGCAAGTCACTTAACCTCGCTGTGCTCCCTAAGCATCAGCTGAAAGTTTGGGAAAAAAAGAATTCCAATATTATGTCAGTTTGCTGGCCTTTCTTTTCTTTTTTTTCTAATGAAAATGAGAGAAAGGGGTGGGGGACAGAGAGACACCTCTATCAACTCTACCTAAACCAAGAAAATTTTATGAAGAATGGAAGGTAATGGAGAGATAGCACTTCATATTACAGATAATTAAACAGACCCAGGGAGAACTTACCTTGCAAAAACAAAGAGCAGGGGGAAGAAACAAGAGAACTTCCCCAGCACACACACATACACACTCCCAGTCTACCCCAACATAAAGATTTTTAAATATAGTAAGTGTCCAATTCCTGTCCTCTGAATGCCACATTTCTACTAAGACCTAGCCATAAGAAAAAGAACATGACTGCTAAACACTTGCTTGTTTTTAGCGAAAAGGCTTGAAGAGTGAGATTTTTTTTAATGTATTCATATTTTCTATTTTTTCTACAATGAGTTCTGTAACTTCTGCAAGAATATTGAAAACATTTGAAGTGGGGCCTGCGCCATGGCTCACTTGGATAATCCTCTGCCTGTGGCACCGGCATCCCATATGAGCGCTAGGTTCTAGTCCCGGTTGCTCCTCTTCCAGTCCAGCTCTCTTCTGTGACCCGGGAAGGCAGTGGAGGATGGCCCAAGTGTTTGGGCCCTGCATCAGCACAGGAGACCAGGAGGAAGCACCTGGCTCCTGGCTTCAGATTGGCGCAGCGTGCCGGCCGCAGCGGCCATTTGGGGGGTGAACCAACGGAAGGAAGGCCTTTCTCTCTCTCTCACTCACTGTCTCTTATCTATCAAATAAAAAAAAGAAAGAAAGAAAAAAGAAAAGAAAATATTTTAAGTGAATAAAAGAAAGACTTTTTTTACTTATCTTCTTTGCTTTATAAAATTGGCAGCGTTTACAGGCAGGCATTTGGAGTGGCAGTTAAGATGCTGCTTGAGATACCCACATCCCATGTTAGAGGACCTGAGTTCAAGTCCTGGCTCCACTCACGATTCCAGCTCACCACTAATGTGCACCCGGTGAGGTAGCAGGTGATTACTCAAGTAGTGGGATCCCTGCCACCCATGTGGAACACTGGATTGAGTTCTTGGCTCTTGGATTCACCCTGATCCATTTCATGAGTAAACCCACAAATCTCCCTCTGCCTTTTGGATAAAATAAATTCATCAAAAATATTTTTTAAAAGGGGAAAGAGTCAATAATTTATCCTGGGGTTGGCACTGTGGTGCCATGAGTTGAGCTGCCATCTGCAGCACCAGCATCCCATATGAGCACTGGTTCAAGTCCTGGTTGCTTCACTTCTGATCCAGATCCCTGCTAATGTGCCTAGAAAAGCAGTGGAGGATCGCCCAAACACTGAACACATGTGGGAGACGCAGATGAAGCTCCTGGCTCCTGGCTTTGGCCTGGCCCCGCCCTGGTTGTTGTGGCCATTTGGGGAGTGAACCAGTGAATCGAAGTTCTTTCTTTCTCTCCCTCTCCTCCCACTCTCTGTAATTCTGCCTTACAAATAAATACTTTTTAAATATATATATATATATGTGTGTGTGTGTGTGTGTGCGTATCCTTAGTTTAAAAATAAAATAAAATAAAATTGGCAGAATTCCCTAGAGACATTTAAGGATTGAAGTTAATACTAGCCTTCAGGGTGCAGGAATATGATCTAACATCCTGGTTTAACATTATTTAAGCATGCAGGAATGACAACCAAGGAACCATGTACTGGTATACAAGGGTATTTCTAAAAAGTTAATGGGAAAAAAGGAACTAAAAGATGTTTATATGGTGTAAAATTTTTTTTGAAATTTATGTCATTTTTTTCATCATGCACATTTTCCACAAACTTTTTGAAGTAGGCTCTGCTGTGGTTTGAATAGGATATGGCTCCCAAACTTAGGCAGATGTTAGAAGCATAAATATCACAGTCTCATGTATGGAGCAGGGTGGGTGGAAACTTAATCCACCTGCGGTGTTTAGAAAGAGGCCTCATGGATGGTCCTATGGTCTTTAGGGGTAGTTTCTGCAAGAGGGTTGGTGATCAAAGTCTGGGTCAGGCCCACTACACTCTCTCTGCTTCCTCTTCCACCATGAGGTCCTTCCTCCCTGGATGTCCTGTCATGGTCATCTTCCAGCTTCACCAACGGCCTAACCAACGGCCTGCTGGACTGTGAGCCTCTAAATCACAGTCAAAACGAACCTCCTTCCTTCATAAGTAACTCATTTGGGTATTTAGTTATAGTGAAAAAAAATTGACTGGTTGGGGCTGGCTCTGTGGTGTAGCAGGTAAAGTCACCGCCTGCAGTGCCGGCATCCCATATGGGCACCAGTTCGAGTCCTGGTTGTTGCACTTCCAATCCAGCTCTCTGCTATGGCCTGGGAAAGCAGAAGATGGCCCAAGTACCTGGGTCCCTGCATCCGTTGTGGGAGACCCAGAAGCAGCTCCTGGCTTCAGATCAGCACTGCTTCAGCCATTGCGGCCATCTGGGGAGTAAGAGGATGGAAGACTCTGTGGTTTAATTGGTGGTTAGTTCTTTTACTTCTATTTAATTCTTTTCCATGAAATCAATAGTAATAATTATTAAAAAAAAAAAAAGGTTAATAGCAACACACAATAATGTTAGGTGTGTGTTTCTTTCATTTTTTAGTTTGAAGAACAACTTTTTGAAACACGTGAAGAATTTGAGGAGTTAGTCCAAGGTGAGATACAAGCCTTGTTACTCATGATGCTGCATTAGACCAAAGAATGAAACGCTCTATTATTATGGCTCTCTCGCTCTCTCACACTCTCTCTCTCTCTCCTGCATACTCATACACACACACACATACACATTTGATGTATTGAGAGGCAGAGAGAGGCAGAGACAGAAAGGGAGCTCCCATCTGCTAGTTCAATCCCTAAATGCCTGCAATAGCCAATGGATGAAACAGGCCAAAGCTGGGGCAGAAACTCAATCCACAACTCCCAGATGGGTGACAGGGACACAATTACCTGAGCCATCACCTGCTGCCTCTCAAGGTGCACATTAGAAAGAAGCTGAAGTTGAAAACACAGCCAGGACTCAAACCCAGGAACTCCAATATGGGATACAGGTGTCCCAATTGTCATGTTATCTGCTACATCAAATGCCCATCCCACATGCATATTTTAAGTAAAAGCAGTGAAAATTACACAGACAACATGTAAGGAAGGCAGCACTTAAATCCCCCAAGCAAGAGCCCCACCACCAAGATTCTAGGGTATAATGATTCCAGCCTCTTCCTTTAATTTCCCCAGCCCCAGGGATGATATCTACTTCCTACAGTTGCTACCTTCATGATACCACACTGTTCCTTTCAGGAACAGTGCCTTTCAGGCCCGGATAACTTCTTCATATTCAATTTTCTATGCTAAGATAACTGATGTAGTTCAGTCTTCCAGTTAGATCCTGAGACAATGAAGAGAATTGGCTCAACTTCAGGCGTTAACGACAAGGCCAGCCTTACTGTTACCTTTCTGAGGCCCAGATAAAGACAGACTGACACAGAGGGAGACAGACCATCCAGCATCCAGTCTTTTTTTTTTTTTTTTTTTTTTTTTTTTTTGACAGGCAGAGTGGACAGTGAGAGAGAGAGAGAGAGAGAGAGAAAGGTCTTCCTTTTGCCGTTGGTTCACCCTCCAATGGCCGCCGTGGCCAGCGCACTGTGGCCTGCGCACCGCGCTGATCCGATGGCAGGAGCCAGGTGCTTCTCCTGGTCTCCCATGGGGTGCAGGGCCCAAGCACTTGGGCCATCCTCCACTGCACTCCCGGGCCACAGCAGAGAGCTGGCCTGGAAGAGGGGCAACCGGAACAGAATCCGGCACCCCGACCGGGACTAGAACCCGGTGTGCCGGCGCCGCAAGGCAGAGGATTAGCCTATTGAGCCACGGCGCCGGCCCCATCCAGTCTTTTTAATTAAACCACTGCTATTGTTAGTAATGGTTTGAATGTAAGGATTCCTTAAAAGACTGAAAAAGTAAGCCTAAAGAAAGGAATTATCACTGAGATAGGAGATCACTGGGATTCAGCAAGAGAAGAGAAAGGGCATGGCAGGTTCATGTGCAACAATGGTGAGGAATAATGTGTAGAAAGTATGTAGAGGAAAATTTCAAGGAGTGCTTTCAATTCCAGACTGGGATAAATATTTATGCTTATTCTCTTACATACAACAGGGAGTAATGGAAAAGATTTAAACTGAGACTTAAGACTTCAAGAAGACAAACAGGCTGAGCATGTGGGATAGATAAGAAAGGCCCATCTGGAGGCCAAGTTAACCACTTAGGATCTTACTTGGTAGTTCAGCGGTAAAAAGAGTCTAAACTAACAGGTGACCGTAGAAAATCACAGTAAGGAATAAGAAAAGGGGCAGAAGAGAAGCTTTTTTTTTTTTTTTTGAGATTTTTATTTATTTATTTGACAGGTAGAGTTACAAACAATGAGAGAGACAGAGAGAAAGGTCTTCCTTCCGTTGGTTCAACTCCAGATGGCCGCTACGGCCGGAGCTACGCCGACCTGAAGCCAGGAGCCAGGAGCCAGGAGCTTCTTCCTGGTCTTCCGCGTGGGTGCAGGGGCCCAAGGACTTGGGCCATCCTCCACTGTCTTCCTGGGCCACAGCAGAGAGCTGGACTGAAAGAGGAGCAACTGGGACTAGAACCCAGCGCCCTTATGGGATGCTGGCGCCGCAGGCAAGGAGTAACCTAGTGCACCACCACGCCGGTCCCAGAGAAGCTTCTGTATCTGTATTTTTTTATCTTCCAGAGTACTAACATTGTGTCTTACATACCACACCTTTTTAATACAAGTGAATACACAAAAATTTATTTTTCTTAGTCTCTAAAAGCATTTTGATAAATGTTATTTTATTACATAACCCGATTTTGTAGAACCTTTAGAGTTAAATAAAACTTAGTTACTGCTATCAAAGACAACAAATAATCCAACTTTTGTTTGTGATTTTAAGGTGGAAATCTGATGTACGAGCAAGTGCCCATGGTTGAAATTGATGGAATGCATATGGTGGAAACCAGAGCTATCCTGAGATACATAGCAGCAAAACACAACTTGTATGGCAGGATCCTGCAGGAGCAAGCCTGGTCCAAACAGTGCTTCTTATGCAGAAGAGAACTAAGATTTTTAGGCTCATTAGCAGCCATATGCAGTGGAGTTCTTGATAGAGTCACCGAAAATTCATTTGTTTAAGTTATTATTATTAAAATAATGAATACATATCAAAAGGGAGGAAACAATATAATAATCCCAAGGTACATGGTTGCCTTCAATAAGTATGAATTTGTGACCAGTTTCCTTAATTTTCTGTAAATTTTTTGTATTTTGCTGTCATTAAAAGAAAACCAGCCACTTTCTCATGAACCTGTGCTTGCCTCCACTAGGAAGCAGTAGCATAGCACCCAGGAATAAATCACAACTCTGACTCAAAGTTTTGTGGGAGGGTAGTCTCTCCCTGGGAAACTGATTCTGGAAGTGGCTACTGGAAACCACCTCATTCGTCTCTGGTCACACCTGATGTAACTCCCAGCCTCTCAGACATCAGCTGATTCTCACATGCACACACCAGTGCTTCTGCAATAAGCAGACCAGTCTACAAACTGCCAAAATCGTCTTAGGTCACCTAGAGTTTAAAACAGCAACTGTAAATTGTAAATTAGTGCACAAAAGTAGAAAACTGTGAGTTGGTAAACAACAAATAGTTCATTTTTATTAAATGTTTTAAGTAAAATTGTCATTGATTATGCATTGTTTTATTCAAAATGCATTTATATTTAAAAACTGTTTTTACAAATTTAATGCAGTTAGAAATTTTTAATCTTATATTTTCAAGTCTCAACTGTAAGTTTTCTCATGTTTTCTAGTAGCTTCTGCCAACTTCCTATTGATTGCAACCCTGCAGTATAGCTTAATGTGTTCTTCTTTCTATTTTTATAAATTTGTAGTTGGAGTTAGAGGTGCTGGTGGTTTTGCAAGACCACTTCATGAGTGTTGGTGGATTCCTCTATCAGGAAGCACAGAATGCCTGCCTGTCTATGCTTTGTGATATTGATGGTCTTTGGTGTTCAGTGCTAACATTCCTTCAGCATTTATCATCAAAAATACTGTATCTATAAGACTTCATCCACCACTGCTTAGTTGAAACTACAATTTCCTATAGGAAAGGTAGGATTGATGTTTGGTTTTCTTTGTTTTCCAAGTAATGAGCTGATTCACTTGCATCCTTCAACAGTGACTGACTAGTTCTTGTTATTGATTTAATATTACTATGAAGTCACAATTTAAACATCTTTGGTGTGTTTCTGTTCATTTAATTGTTATTCTTATTTGTGCTAAAATTATCCTACTTTGGTCTGTGGCAGTCAAGTGGCTCCCAGGAATTTTTTATATTATTCTACTGGCCTCATCCCTTCCTGATCATCTAAAGTAACATGATGATCCAGATCAGTCCTCTGCATCTCTTGCTCCAGCCCTGAACTCAGCCCTGTCTCTAATGAGCTGAGTTCCTCAGAGCTGCGTTAATGCCAAGTGGTTCTTAAGCAGACCTTTCACAGAACTAATGTTTATACATTAAAAGTGAATTAATAATTTACTTATAGTGCTTTCATTGGTATGCTACAACAAAACCTCGTATGTGTTAGACACTTTGCATTTTAAAATTCTTTGGACTTCATAATCCCATAAGAATGCTCAGAATGGCACACTTCTGGTTATCTATTGCTACTCAATATTCTCCCCCATAGTTCCGTGAGTTGACAGGACTCCGCGGAGGGGTTCTCTCTGAGTGTCTCAGGCAGTGCTTTGCTTGTCTGTCTGGCACTTGGGTTGGAAGGGCTGGAACCTGTGAGTCTGGCTGGGCCTCTGTCTCTTTGCATGTGGCTAGCTTGGGTTTCCACACAGCATGAGCTTTGCTGTATGGGTGGATTCCTACATAGCGCCTGGCTGCCCTTAGAGCAAGAATTCCAAGACCAGGCAGAAACTGCAAGGCTTCTTGTGACCTAGCCGTGGAACTCCAAGAACTTTTCTTTCCACATTCTATGTCAAGATGTCCCCATGGCCCACTCAGACTCAAGGGCAGAATGAAAACAACTCCCTATGCAAGGAGTAGCAAAGAATTTGAGACAATCTTAAAGACACATTGCTATCCAAGGTCGAATCTAAAGGAACTATGGTTCAAAAAATTCAGAGACTCACCATTTACCAGGACAGAGGTTTCCAGTGCCCACACCAGCAGTCTTTTCACTATGAAATGGTTAGACACAGGACTCACCTTTCCACACAAGTAGAGAGAGAACTTGTAGAGTGAGTCTTGTGCCTTTTTAAGTTGCTCTCCTGACTGTGTCCGAGAACCTTCCATCCAGATGCAGACATTTTAGGCCATCCAGGGGTCCTTGGTACATTTTCCTTCCGTGCATCAGCATGCATAGATGATCTCACTGTTATTTCCACATTTCAGTATGATCTCTGCCCAATTTACTACTTTGAAACTATTTTAATACTTTGTGTACATCTATTTTATTAGCATTAGTATTAAATAACTGATATATACATATTGATAACTGCTGACATACTTTGAGAATTTTCCTACCTCCCAGGTTGAGTTTTATTAATACCCAAAGGTAACAGGAGACTGACAGAAATGCTTGGCTTCAGCACATGTTGTCATGTGCCATGTTCCATGACAACACCCAAAAACCTCAATGAGAGGCCTGATAACCAGGCGGGTAAAACTGAAACACCACTTAAAACATTTCTCTGGGCTCTAAGGTGATACTCCCTTTATCTGAAGCTCTCTTATCACCTTTGCTCTAGGATTGACATGTACGTGGAAGGCTTGAAGGACCTGAGTGACATGATTATGTACCTTCCACTCTCTCTGCCTGAAGAGAAGGAGAGGGATCTTGAACACATCCTCCAAAGAGCCACTACATGATTCTTCCCTAAGAGAAGGTAAGCAACAGGCGTCTGCCCCACTTCCTGACTTGGGTCAAGGGGAAGAAAAACAAACTAAACTAAAAGTAGATAAGAATATTACTGGTGGGTGAAAGATGCCCCAAAGCCTCTGCGAAAGCTCTCACTTCTTCCCTCACTTAACATTTATAAAACAAACCCACTCTCCCTCTTTCCTCTTGGGTCTTCTGGATCTTATTATTATTTTTTTGTAAAAGCTTTGTTTTTTAAAAAATTTTATTTATTTGAAAAGAGTGACAGAGAGAGAGGGACAGACAGCCAGAAAGCGAGCTTCCATCCGCTGGTTCACTCCCCAGATGGTTGCAACAAGTCAGGGCTGGGTCAGGAACTCCAAGAACATTTCTTTCCACATTCCATGTCAAGTATGTGCCCAAGGTCCACTCAGACTCAGGGCTGAAGCCAGGAGTGAGGAGTTTCATCCAGGTCTCCCGTGGGGGTGCAGCGGTCCAACTACTTGGGCCATCCTATATTGTTTTTCCCAGGCCATTAGCAGACAGCTGGGTCAGAAATGGCGCCGCCAGGACACAAACCAGTACCCATATGGGATATCAGTGTCACAGGTGGCGGCTTTACCTGCTATGCCACAACACCAGCCCCAGGATTTGTGTGTGTGTGTGTGTGTGTGTGCTTATGGTGTTGATTTAATTTTGGAATAAAACAGAGCCTTTCTGACAAGATTCAGGGGGAAGGGAAGAAATCCACACTCACTAGAGAAGTGGGTAGGAAGGAAAATTAATATTATTTCTAAAATACATTGGATAGTAAAGGCTCAAAACAGGTTAAAAGGTTATAGAATTCTACTTAATATTTCAAAAATTGAGGAAATTGATTTTAAAAAACACTTTCGTTTTCCTGTCTTTATTATTTGAAAAAGAATATCTGAAGTGGGTTTTTGAGCAAATATTTAAACTGACATCCCTAACACAAGAGTTGGATGCCTTCATTGAATGTACTTCATTCAATGTACTTCATTAGTATACTCATTATAATATTGATAGAGGAAAGAAATAATGAAATGCTAGAATTTGACAAAAATTGAGCCAGATGACTTTTCCAAACCCATTTCCTATGCTGCTTTAATCCATTCATTCTAGGTTAAATAGAACAGTTGTAACTGAATGACTTACTTTTTTTTTTTTTTCTTTTTTTCTTTTTTTTTTTTTTTTGACAGGCAGAGTGGACAGTGAGAGAGAGAGACAGAGAGAAAGGTCTTCCTTTGCCGTTGGTTCACCCTCCAATGGCCGCCGCGGTCGGCGCGCTGCGGCCAGCGCACCGCGCTGATCCGATGGCAGGAGCCAGGAGCCAGGTGCTTTTCCTGGTCTCCCATGGGGTGCAGGGCCCAAGCACCTGGGCCATCCTCCACTGCACTCCCTGGCCACAGCAGAGGGCTGGCCTGGAAGAGGGGCAACCGGGACAGAATCCGGCGCCCCGACCGGGACTAGAACCCGGTGTGCCGGCGCCGCTAGGCGGAGGATTAGCCTAGTGAGCCGCGGCGCCGGCCATGAATGACTTACTTTTTATATTTAATTATATTTATCATGATCGACAATCTTTGATCCTAATCACTTGATGCAGATTATTTTATTGATACTGATATATTTGGCATGAATTACAGATACTTTCTGTCCTTGGTTAAACTTCCCCTAATGACATCCAGTGAGTTTTCAGTCCCCTTGATCCAAACTAGATCACACTGTGAAAATTCTACACTGAAGGCTTTCTTCATGTCATTTTACTCAGAAGTATTAAAAAGATAACATTCAATTATAATCAGAGTAAAATTTAAGAGATTTTTATCCTACAGTTTTATAAATATTATCAATGAGTAGATATCTAACACCACTATTCCTAATGACTATATTTTTGTTGTATAAGTTTATGAAGTATAGAGACTTCCCTCATGGCTAAGAATAGTAACAATAACAACATAGCTAACAACTATACTAATGATAATGATGGTTCACGTCTGAGTGCCAAGGACTCTGCTGTGCACTTTACCCATTACCTCCACTTTGCATTCATAACTCCACAGAAGAGATGTCAGTATTATCCCCATTTACAATTGAGGCAATCACAGATGAAACAAGCAAAGTAACTTAACCAGTGTCACACAACCAAGAACACTGGCACCTGCATCCAAATCTAACTCCTGAGCCCATGCCTACATTTCATAACATTATAGAGTTTTAGGGTCACCAGAGTCCACCAGTAACCACCTACCCTAATCTTTCATTTTGTATTCAATCAATTTTGACCTGAAGTGACCCGTAAATGACAGCCCTATGAGAAGAAAACATGGTTATAAAATGAGGCGTAGGTCTCTGTGCAACCAATGTTCTCCCTGCAAAGTACCTTCCAAAGAACAACATACCTAAGGAATCTGCCATGAGATGGCACAAGGAGGGAACATCATCAAGACCTGGAGGAGCGATCAGCCAAGGTTATGGTGCTAACTATAACTATAGCGTCTAGAACTTTCTGCAAAGTCAATGAACTTAACTGAATTGTATGTTAGGTATGTCCTGACTCTTCTACCTTCTCCATCTCAACTATGCAGGCACTG